TCGATAGAAACACAGAACTAGCACAAGCTGTTGACATAATGATGGTGAGAGCAAAGAGAATTTACATTTTGATGATCAAAGTAAACAAGTTGTTTCCCTTTTTTTTTACATGTTTTCCGTGTTTCTATCGAGTTATAGAAACACTTGTGAAAGTTTGGGAGAACTTGAAAAAGCTGGCTTGTGTTCGCACAGCATTTCTTGTTCTCCCAAACTTCCACTTGTGTCTCTATAACTCGATAGAAGTGCGGGACATGTTTTCTATTTCTTAATTATAGATTACTGAGACTTGCAGCAATGTCATTCAAAATCTTCACTTTTAGTGAGAGGAGAATATTAAGACATAATAATAATTGTTCACCCCAACTGTTCAGGATAAAATAAATAATAATAATGATAATAATAATAATAATAATAAAATAATAATAATAATACTTATAACAATAATAATAAAAATAGAAATAATTATAACAACAACAATAATAATAATAATAGTAATAATGATAATAAAATAACACCTTCATCAGAAGATGTTTTGTTAAATTTTGTACAACTAGCTAGCTATAACATTTCAGAATTCTATTTGCCATTGGGGAATGGTTTTAATTAATTTCATTTTTCGAATATTACAATAAATTCAAGTCACTTGCAATGATTAAGACATTGTCAAGACAACATTGAAAGATTTTCAGGATTGAAAGAAGAAATACATTACTTTTGCCGTCACATTGTCAAAATTATGGAATTTTAAAACAAGTTGCTTTGACTGCACAATAAACTCAAATGTTCACAATAAATAATATAAATAACTTTCCACAGTATATCACTTCATATATCTCTTATCTTAGTTAAACCTTACTGTTATTTAACATCAGGCTCTATTATTATAAAATTATATTAAAAAATATACTTTCTTTGTTAACAGACTTTCATATTCTGTTCATTTTTTCACTGAAAATTATGCTAAAAGCCTAACAAAGTACTGGTAGGTCATTTAACAAGAGATGAATTCTGTGTAAGTAACAATAACTTTCCTAGAAATGTGTGTTCATTAACACTACCACCTCTCATAGCAGCAGCTTAAATTATTCTTTTAAGTCATTCACACAGATTGCACAAAGTGTCATCTAAATTGTGAAATTCATCATCATCATCATCATCATCAGCATCTGAATAATATTATTCTCCTCCATCCAAACATAGCAGACCTCCTGAAAAAGAAAGATTAATTGCTTTAAAGATTCAACACGTAATTTATTTGTGCACCTCTTGGTTGGTCATGTCACTGTTGATCTGATGATCAATGAAGAAGAGATTAAAGACATTGCAGAGGATGGAAAATCTGTGTATCCAATAAGTTTTTTTTGGAATTGGTGCTCCCGGTATCTGAAGCTGTACTCCTACGATTTTTAGCTGTGTGCCTAAAATTTCAGCAAAGTGCCTAAAAATTTACATCTGGTTGTAAAAGTGCTCCCAAAGCCAAAAATAAACTTTGAGCCCTGTATGGCAGACAACATTGATGGCTCAGTCAAATTTCTACTACATTGCATTTTCTAAAATTTCCCATACCCCAATGGACTACACAGTCGTTGTATTAAATTTTGTTTCATGTGGAAGTACTTTTAATGTGCATTTAAAAGCGGTTTACTGAGAGCCGTCCATCTTGAATGCTATCAGTTTTGGATTCGTTCACAATTAGCAAAGAAAATTACAAAGAAAATTCTTTGGGGTATTAAATGCAAATAAAAAACACAAACAAATGATCCCAAAATGGATGACTTCAGAAACAAAGGCTACTCATGAAGAAATTATTTTTCCTTTGACAACCTGAAATTGAAGAAATTGACCAGTACCACTTGCTGATAACCCTTGAAAAAGAGGCAAATCACATTTTTCCTAACAGGTCTTCTCAAGAATAATTTTCAAAACAAAATGGAATCCATTTTGGTTTTCCATCTGACAACATACTATATCCAATTTGGAATTTATAGAATTTACAGAATTTCAACAATTCAAGGGTGCAACTTTGACCGCCATTTTGAGAATATTACTAAATTGCCATTTTAATACCTGAATTGTAGATCAATGTAAATAGTTTACATATTACTAAATTAATATTAGAAATTAACCCAGGCATTAAAGATAAAAAAAGAGATAACCTTGTACTTGTAAAATCTGACAAAGGATGCCACTTAAGTGTCCAAGAAAAACTCTTAGAGTGTGAACATAATTTTGTCCTAATCAAACAAATGAATATAAAAGCTGAGCTTCTTTATTGAAATAACAACAGGAATATCTCTTGAGCAAATATTTCAAGTAAACAAACAGGCATACCACATGCACTAGAAAAATACACTTACTTGTACTGGACAGCAGTGTATGTTTTTAGAGTTGAATTAGTCTCTTTCAACTGACTCAACCTGGCTTGTCTTCTGTTTCCTTTTTAACTCTTCAGTGAGAGTTGGTTTCTGCAATAAGAGAAGAAACAATGACCACAGACAGCCACATAGAATTACCTGTAATATAATTGAATGCCTTCAATGGTGTTTATTTTGTGTACTATAAAAGGGATAATAACTTTTGCCTTGCTGTATGTATTTGAAATTATCACAGAGTTTAACTGAAATTGAGGCTGAAACTAGAGTAAGAGCACAATGACTTGTCATTGAACACTCTTCCTTGCAAAATAAATTGAGAAATTTTCAACTAAGTGATAAAAAACCACACTTATCACTTGGCCAATCACATCAGTTTTCAACTAAGTGATAAAAAATCAAAGTTATCACTCCGCCAATTGCAGAGGATTCAGACAATCCAGGGACCCAATCAAAATTTGCATGTATCTGGTATAACTGGCACAAAGCCCGGGAAGGCATGTGTTTTGGTTTTAATTCTAGTTGGTTCAAAAAGTGGTATCAGTTCATAAGATACTTAGTGGAGCAAACTAAAGGCAAAATGCAGATAACCTTTGACACTCAAGCGAAAATTTCTCCAAGTTTAGTCTGATTAAGCTAAATAAAATTACATGTAGTTGTCAATGAATTAAACATGCAACTTTTGTTGACTACTACTAAGGCACCAAGTGAGAGGTGCAATACTAAGACACAGTGGTGGATCCACACGTTACGCTCGGGGGAGGGGGGGTTGCTTGCCCTGCCAACTTTCCTTCCTTCTGCAATTTTTTTCACCCAAAATAAGTGGGGGGAGGCTCCCCTAGAGCTGCCATTGAGACATATCTAGTGTGTTGGGTTCTAGAGTATGAGGTACAGTTCTGAGAGGTTTGTGTTCTCAGCAAAATGTTCTACTTTTGAAGCAGCTGTCTGTCCAGGATTATAAAAGGGTGCCAGTGAGACAAGTAGGATATGTCACCAGACACTTACATGCTAAGGGTAATCTGTAGTGGACTAGCATACCCTATTTACTTGAATAAGCACTATCTCTGGATAAGTGCCTCCCTCGAATAGGTGCATTTGCATTTGGGACTAACATTAGAAATTTCTTTTCATCAAAAGCGATGATCTTCAGTTCAAAGTGATAACATTTCACTACTTGCCCATTAAGTTCTCTGTCCAGAATTCTTGCAATATGAAGTTCTGTTGTGAGGGCAGTGAGCTTTGCAAGTACAACAACGACAACTTCTCTCTTCCTTTTACCTATTTTTAAACAAGCACCACCCTCGCAATAAGCGCTACCCTCGAATAAGCACCGCATTTGAGGGGCTAAAAAAAATTAACACATGCTGCGGCACTTATTCAAATAAATACAGATATAAATACAGAACCAATGAACTGTCTACATCTCCTGATCACTTCCACTACAACTGACTTCACTTTTACCTTACTTCAAAACCCAAACTACAATCATTTTCAAAAGTACAGCTCAGTGGTTACCAAAATTTTTCTCTTTCTTCCCTTTCACCATCTGAGCTTGCAGACATATCGAAGGGAATTTCAGTTTAGGTAAGGTATGTTACAAAATTCTAAGAGTTTCTTTGAAATGATGTGAAGTTTATATGAAATAATTCACTTTCAGTTTCTTTGAAGTTCTAAGAATAGGGAGGTGGAAATTTACAAGGATAGCAAACTCAGGAAAGTGACAGGGACACAAGAATAATTTTGGTGGATTTCTTGATAAGGCATATGTAACGGTAACCAAGGAGACGAAGTATTTTTCGCAACTAAAAAAATCTTCTGCCTCCCTTGGTGAGCATGGGAGACTCCTTGGGGAGCTAAGGCAAATTTTTGTCTTCAGAACAATGCCACATCTCCATGCCAAATCCTCTCCCCTTCCTCTAACCACACCTGCTTAATACAATGTAAGTTCTTAGCAATAACTGAAACACTTGAAGTAATTATTACTTCAAGTGTTTCAGTCTGCTTGAAATTGCGAAGGGAATGCAAAGTACTGTGTCCAGGTTGGTTTTCTGTTACCCTCCATCATCTTGGGAGGGAATTTTGCGTTGGCAGACAATGTTACATCGCTTATCATTGCCACTTTTCATTGTAATGGTAACATCTTTCAGCAAGCGCGTTCTGGCGTGTAATCAATTCGTTTCTCACCCAAACACTTCACAAACCAAAACCTGTAATCAAAACCACATAGAGAGAAACACAGAAAGATTAAAATAAACACTTACCACAATGTCAGACAAATACTCCGGGTTCGTCTGCTGCAACGTCAAATCCTCCGATTCTGCGTCGAGCAGATTTTCGCGAGACCACGGTTCCAGGTGATGAAAGGCCTGTATGGGTCCCATTTCGGGATGGCGAGGGAGAAACCGCAGGACTCATTAACTTGATTTTATCAAGCAGTAAGAGCTTATCGTCAGGGAAATTTAATGAAGTGTCTTGTTCGACGTCCATTTGAAGATTTTTGTCTAAATCGTAGTAAGATAGGCTTAATTCCGGCGACGGCGAAGGCTCGCCTTTCAACGCGTCTAACTGCACCAGTTTTTGACGGGAAATACTTTCGAGTTCGGTGAACGACTTTTTGATGTTTTCTACTTCTTCGGTTTGGCGATCGGCGAGCTCTCTTTGTTTTGTCAATTCGTCCCTTGTTAATGCTATTTCTTGAGCAAGGTCTTCCAGATCGTTGACACTGACGCCAGAGGTATTACTGTCAGATTTTGATTCGTGTGGAGAACGCACAGAATAAATTTTTGTGCCGACGTTTTCCAAATCCGAAATGTGAACATCTAAATGATGAAGCTTACTCGTCTGATCTTGAAGCTCGAACTGAAGTTTTTCTCGACGAGTGCGTTCTTTCGCGAGTTCGTTCGCACAAGTTTCCTCGACTGCTAGTTCCTTCGCTTGAAGTTTTAAAACCTGCCCGAGTTTAGTGATTCTGTCCTCGGTGATTTCTTCTTCAGTGTAGTATAAATAATTTTCCTCGTCTTCGACGCAACAGTCAATCCGCAACTGCACGATTTCCAAATCACGCGCGATACGTTTCAGTTTATTGGATTGATTTGTAACAACTCTCTCCAAAGACTTCTGTTCAAAAGATCGATAAAAAGGATCCCCAGTTGTGTTTTCTTCGTCATAACAGAATTCTTTTCCGCCTATTGCAGCCGCATTTGGAGTTGATTTGTCTTTCATTAATTTCAAAACAAACTTGACTTCGCTCGCTTGTTTTCCCCACATCTGCAAGCATTTCATGGGCTTCGCTTCTCGCGGCAAAATCCTCTCGAGATCGCGCCATTTTTCGAGCAAGGCAAATCTTCCTAGCTTTCCCGTGGCGTTCGCGAGAGCGAGCAAGATGTTTTCGCATGTAGTATCCTCGTGGGCTCCTCGTACAACTCGCTCAACTCCATCCACCCAAACTCTCAGATCGCTCATCTTCGGAGTGAAAGAATCCTTTTTACAAAGGTCATCGCAAGATCATCGATCCTTTCTTTGATTTAGTAGATAGATTTTCCATGCCGGCTTCATGCTTGACTCGTCCGCAGCCCTTCAGATGAGGTTTTCACTTAGGACACAAACCTGTTCTCGATTTTCGAGGAGCGCTTTTTCAAGACGCCTCGCCAAACAACCGTCGGATGTCGGAAACATGCTTCTGTTCAATTTGTCTGCCAACGAAACTGAGCAAATAAAAGGCAAACGCATGCGTAAGGCTGGATTTTGTCGATGACAGGTCTCGCTTCTTGAAACTTTTAACAGGATGTTTATTTTGTTGTTTTCTTGTCAGACGCCGTTTGATTGATTCAAGATAAAATTAATTTAAGTTACAC